GAGAACGGCGTGGCCGGCGGATTCGATGAAGGAGCGGCCAGCGGGCATGCGGCAACCACATGTGATGACCCCGGGCTGGACTCCGCTTCGTCCACGGTGAAAGCCGATCCGGCGATCCACAGCGCGAAGTTGATGTATTTCCTCAGCGACCAGCACGGATCAGCTCTAGGCATGACGAAGCGGATATCGTCCTCTTTTGGAAGACCAAACAAAGTAGTTTCGCTTTCACAACGAAACACAGCGTCTTCACGAAATGGCAGCAGCAACAATACTACAGCGAGAATAGAAGTTACGCCTTCTTTTTTTGCGTGAACATTTGGGCAGCGTTATACAAATCTTCCCACATCGTGATGTAGACATGTGGGGGCGTATTAGAACGAGCCGTTTTAGGTAGGCGTGGTTGACTCTTAACTTTTATAAAGAATATCTCTTTGGATTTGAGACTTTAGTCTTTGCAACTTCAGGGATCTTATCTATGCACAATCAGCTTGTAACACTCCAAAGAGAAAGAAAAAATTTAAATCGCATCATATGACCCCTTTAAAAAAAAAATCCACTCTCAAAAGATATGTAGGCCTAAATGTAAGATTTATGTATTTGAATTGCACATAAAATGTCCTTCCATTTGGACGACAGAAAGGAAAAATTGAAATCGCATCATATGACCCCTTTAACAATTCTACACACCTTCTATCAGAGTTAGAGTATGATAATCTAATATAACCAAGATCTGAGGACTTTTAACCACAGTCAGACAACAACTTGGATGCATTATTGATATTATGATTATTGAAATCTTCATTTAAACTTTTATTCTTCTATACTGGACAATCTAATAAATTAATATATTTAATTAATAAATAATATAATCCAATTAATTACACAACGTGGTGATTAATTAAATTAATTGCAAATTCACACATCAAATAGATATTACAAAAAGTAGCTTTAGAGAGAAATAGCCTATTTTATTTTATTTAGAATGTATTACTTTATTACTTATTTATATATACAGACCATTTATTGCAGCTCAGAGGTAGCATGAATGCATTTACACTGAAATTATAATTGCATTAATATAATAACTATACTGTGTCTAAAATACAACACAACGTTAACTTCTTATTTATTGAACTATTACATAAAATCAATAACATCGCTTTTCAGGACAAAAACAGCACTCATGTGATACTGCACTCGTTGCTTATGTCACATTGTTTAACTACAGTATATCATATGCTATAAGTATGAGACAAAATCTCTTGAATATTAGGGACATAAAACTGAATTCTATAGGCTACATCAAACAGTGAGTTGTTGCCCTGCATCATGTTCGTCACCAACTGTGTGAAATGCCAGATGATCTATGTAGATCTAATATGTTAGATGTATGTTTACATTTCTGACTTATTTTATGTTGTTTTTATGGCCATAGGTTTAGCTTTTTAATGATTTAATATAAAGAAGTAGGTCAAGGCTCTGTCAAACTTAAATCTGTAAATATCCCCTTAAAAGCAGCTTAAGCAAAATACTTTGAAGCATATTGTCCTTATCAAAGCTTTGCAGTTCGAATCAGTTGGTTGGCTCTTTTCAAAGGAGTCTGGCAAAGCAAAGTGTGAGAAAGACCCTCCCCACGATTCCTCGCTGTCAGCTGAGTCACGTCTGCCCCCTCACTGGCAATCTGAAAGCTTTGGAAATTTACAGTTAGAAAGTTGTTTTACATGCAAGAAACTAGAGACACAGCAAAGTACTGACTAGAAAGTCCATTTTGACTATAGTGTATAATGGAAACTTTACCTTTGATAATACACCACCCAAGAGTTCAAATAAAAGGGAGAGTTCATTCACCTCCTTTCTTTGACCCAAGAACGTGCTGTCTTTATCGTCTCCCTTTTCTACGTCGCTTAAATAGCCACTCTTGGTTTTAATACCACTAACTGTTTTTCTCTCTTCCACTCTTTTTTAATGCTCTAGTCTACTTAATACTCCTTAACTAATAATTAGAGCCTTGCATTTTGTACAGAACGGTACTCCAGAGCACAAAGAGGAACAAATCCTCTTTTCTCTTTCTAAAGGCTTGAGATTCAGTGGTGTCATTGGCGTAATTGCAGAACTTGTGAGTCTAGTAGTTTTTAGAGTTGAAAAAAGAGCTGTGTTGGGAAGTAACTAAATAAAAGTGCTGCTACACTCTTAGAAAACAAGGTACAAAAGCTGTCACTGGGGTGGGACCTTCTCAAAAGGTACACTTTTGTACCTTTTAGGTACTAATATGTACACTTTAGGTACTAATATGTAGCTTTAAGGTACCATGGACATATGGACACATATTGTGTTGCACCTGTAACTTTATATATGAGCTATGTAAAGTAATAGTCAGTGTTGGGGATAACGCATTACAAGTAGCACAAGTTATGTAATCAGATTACTTTTTTCAAGTAACTTGTAAAGTAACGCATTACTTTTTAAATTTACAAGAAAATATCTAAGTTACTTATTTAAAGTGCCCCTATTATGCCTTTTCGAATATTACCTTTCATGCAGTGTGTCATGTAGCTGTATGTGAACATAAACTATCTGCAAAGTTGTGAAGCCGACAGTGCACGATAAATAAAGTTATTGTCTATCAAAAAAATGAGTCGGCTCGCAATCGCCTAAACGAGTCGTCAGGAATTCGAATCTTATTCTATTACGGCTCTACGTCATGAAGTAACACATTTGCATAATGTCTGCCCACGTTCTACGTCGCCAACTTGCCCGCCCACAAACACAGTAAAATTTCCGTGTGGTTAACATCATGTCAGAAGACGCTGTATCCTACGCTGTGAGAGTAAATTTGTTTTATTATATCTTATAATTACCACAAACTTGTTAACACTTGACACTTACCACTGAGAAACGTCCTGCTCCAGTCGTGCTTGCGAATCAGTCTCTTGTCGATCAGCCACTTCAACCGTTTCATCATCAGACTCCGGCTCAAATTGGTAAGGTACATCCAGCTGTGCGTGTGTGTGTGTGTGTGTGTGTGTAGAGTAAATGTCTGTGATGTGCATGCAAAACATCTACCAGATATGTCTATTAAAACAAGTGAGAAGGGGAAAGTCCAGTACAACAGATTTTAACCACAAATCAATGCTTGTTCCTCATATGCCAAAAATAAATAAATAAATAAAAAGGCCAGGAAAAAAGATTTTAAAAAAAAGACACAATGGAAAGAAATGA